TCATTATTATCTTTATCAACGTTATCATTATTATTGTTGTTGCTGTTGTTATTATTATTATTATCATTATTATCATTATTATTATAGTGAATTTACATTAACGGAGACGCATGCTGTCAGCTTGACACTTTTTCTTTTATTTATTATTTTTAAAAATCTACAGGCGAACGTGTTTATGGAATCCGAAGTCGAGGAGATCCTGCGACCCGTTTTCCCTCGCCTCTCGATGTCCACACTCCCAGGTGAGGCCTTAGACTCATGTAGAAATACTCGTGAAATTACTCGTGTATTTCTGACGAAGACGTATTCGAAACCGAGGAAATACGTCTCTTGTATTGTGAAGTTATTCATTCTCATTCAGTCTTTTCTACGTTTGTCTACATGAATACGCTTTATACTCGTGTAAGAAAGAGTGTGAGGTTTATGTTAATTATGTTGATCGGTGGCATGACTTTGTTACTGGTGGTGTTGTTTTTTAAGATTATTAGTATCAATGTTTGAAATGAATGTTTTGAGAAAGCATATGACACCGTGAAACATGAAGAAATGGTTAAGATCTTGAGAGACATAGGAATGAATGAGAAAGACACCAAACTGATAAGTGTATTGGAATCAGAAAGCAGCAGTTAGAGTAGATGACGAAAAGACAGATTGGGTTGAAATAGAGGGAGGAGTAAGACAAGGATGTGTGCTGTCACCAGATTTGTTTTCACTGTACAGCCAAGTAGTCATAGATGAGTTAGAAAGGCTAGAAGGTAGTTCATTTGGCGGAAGGAACGTGAACAACATCAGACATGCAGACGATACACTACTGATAGCTGACTCAGAGGAGAAATTAGAAGCATTAGTGAGCAAGTTGAAGGAAGAAGGTGAAAGTAAAGGACTGGGAATAATTGTAGATAAGGCCAATACAATGACAATAACAAAGAGTAAAGAGAAAGTGAAGATAAAAGTGGGAGATAAGGAAGTAAAGCAAGTTGTTTTTTTTATATCTGGGAAATACCATTCATGATCAAGGGAACAGTGAGAAAGAGATTATAAAAAGGACTGGCTTGGCAAAGAAAGCATTTGGTTGTATGGACAAGATCTTCAAGAATTTGCGTATGAGTATGGAGGTTAGAATAAGGATTTTGAAGTGTTTTGTGTAGTCAGAGTTGATATATGGATGTGAGTCATGGATGATCAGGAAATATTTGAGAAATAAAATAGAGGCAACAGAAATGTGACTTCTAAGAAGAATGCTAAGGATACCATGTACAGATAAAGTTACAAATGAAGGGGACCTGAGAAAAGCTGGGGTGAAAAGAGAATTAATGGGAAATGAGAAGAGACAATTACAATTTCTTGGTCATATACTAAGAGCGCATTGTTTGGGAAGTGAATTCTTACTTGGAAAATAGATGGAAAAAGAGCTAGAGGAAGACACAGGATGAAATAAATGGAAAGTTTAACTGACAGAGTAGGTGGAATGTACAAACTGGTTGATTTAGTTAGATTAACCGATAACAGAAGGGAATGGAGGGTCATGATCGCTAACGTCACAAGCCAGGCACCACGATCAATAAAGTATCAATGTTGCTGTTGTTATGATGCTGTTGAGTTGTCATTGTTATTGTTGTTGTTGTTGTTGTTATTATTATCATAATTATTATTTTGTATTGTTATCATTGTTGTTGTTATTATTATTATTATTATTATTATCATTATTATTATTATCATTATTATTATTATCATTATTAGTAGTAGTAGTAGTATTTCTACATTATCATTGTTATTATCATTATCATTATTTTTATTATTATCTTATCATTGTTATTATTATTATTATTATTATTATTATCATTATTGCTATTATTATTTTATCATTATCATTATCATTATGTCATATCTTTATCATCATCAACATATCAGTTATGATTATAACAATCATAATTGTTATTACCGTCATTCTTAGTATTGCTAGTTTGGTAGCAGTAAAATAATTTAACATTTTGATAATACATTTTTAAAATTTAACAATACATTTAACCTTTGATTTTTTTAATAATAACATTTAACTATTTTTATTAATTTTAGTTTTTTTTAATATTTACATTCTAATATTTTAACAATACATTTAGCATTTTATTTTTTTAATGATAACATTTTACCTTTTTTAGTAATTTTATTATTTTGATAATAACATTTTAATAATCTAACAATACATTTGATTTTTTTAAACATTTAACAATAAGACGTGTTCTGGTTTTATATGTCCTAGTTACCAGTAATGTAAAGTTTACTGCAAAAATAAAGAAATCATTGACGAATACTACGAATACTAATCAGAAATTTAGGTATTCGTATATATATATGTGTGTGTGTGTGCATATGTTAGTATGTATGTATGTATGTATATATATATATATATATATATATATATATATATATATATATATATATATGTGTGTGTGTGTGTGTGTGTGTGTGTGTGATTTCCGTAAATTAAAAAAAAACTTTTCTGTTCATATAGGCTACATTTGTAGAAATAGTCTTCAGAACACCTAGTATGAAATAGAGGGGTGTGTTCACAGCTGATAAAGGTACAGTTGCTAAACCTGAAATAGGTTATTATCCCAAGCTAGATATGTAGTGATGTTAATTGTTACTGATATCATATCTATCTGTATTTGTGTGTGTGCGTGTGTGTGTGTGACTGACTGCTAATATTTTTACAGGTGGATTATTGTAACGGAAACTTAGCTAATTTAAGTTTCTCAGGTCATGAAACTTTTCATCTTTTTGTTTTCTAATTTAGCTGTTCATTCTTTAATGTCTGGATAATCCATTAGTAGTTGTTGTTGCAGTATTAAGAAAAGAATTACTAGTTGTATTATAATAGATCATACCTTCGCCATCGTCATCATCAACAGCAAAAGAATTGCGATCATCCCCCTAATCGGCATTTGCCTGTGTTAATGGCCATATTAACTCACTATGCCTGTCTTACTATTTTTTTCCTCTGTAATAGCTACCAATATGACGATCACTATACCTACCTCTATCATTTTTTTCCTCCGTAATAGCTACCATTATAATGATCACTCTACCCATCATCACTATTGTTTCCTCAGTGCTAATTATCATCATAACGATCACTCTACCCACCATTACTATTTTTTCTTGTGATGACTACCAATTCGACGATCACTACAGCCACTATTACTATTTTTTTGCCTCAATGATATCTACCAATATGACGAGCGCCCTGCCCACCAATTCTTTTTCTTCCCTTAATAGCGAGTCGCCTCCTCTCGTTCCCGCAGTGAAGTTCGTGGGCGGGTCGTGGGTGTACTTAGTCCGCGGAGGACCTGACCTCACCGACTACAGGCCCCTTCAGGAGGCAGCTGCGGGGCTTCGAGGGGACAGGACGTTCATGGTGGATGGTGAGTGGGGGGGTGGGGAGGCCTCATGGCGTCCGGTGAGTGAGTCTGTATACGGGGAAGGGAGGGGAATGTGTGTGTGTGTGCGTGTGTGTGTGTGTGTGTGTGTGTGTGTGTATGATTAATGAGGAAATTCATGGCAAAACGTGGCCTCCCCTAATTCCCCAATTCCTTAATTTTTCGTTACATTTTTCTAATGGGCAAATTGAAAACGAGTGGAAACAGAGGAAGGGAGACAGAATTAGGGAAGGTGGGAGGGAGGCAGAGAGAGGAAGAGGAGGGGAGAGGGAAAGAGAGAAAAAGAGGGCAGGACGAAGGCAGAGGGAGAGAGAGAGAGAGAGAGAGAGAGAGAGAGAGAGAGAGAGAGAGAGAGAGAAAGGAAAGGAAAGATAGGGGGAGGAGCTAGGTAGAGAGAGGGGGGGAGGGGAAGAGAGGGATGGAGAGAGAAAGAGAGAGAGAGAGGATGGGGGAGATGAGTTGTATTAGAAGCTGTATTGTCATCATGATCATTATCACTACCATAATATTATGACTTAATATTAGTAGTAGTAGTAATAGTAGTATCAATATTATCATTAGTATGAGTATTATCATCCGTCTTGATAGTATTATAATTATGATTATTATTATTCATCTTGATATTATTATAATTATGATGATTATTATTATTACTTATTATTATTATTACTGTCATTACTGTCATCATCATCATCGTCATCATCATTATCATCATAATTATCATTACCACCACCATTGTCATTACCATCATCACCATCATCAGTATCATTACCATCATCATTATTATCATTACTATCATCATCATCTCTTTTTTTTCATCATTGTGATGCCGATAAGTGACATTAATCAAGAAACTCATTTCAGAATATCCGTTTGAGATGCAGATTTTCAACGCTTATAGAGAGGATATTTTGAAGGAATTCACGTTCAGCCTTTCGCTTCAGAGTCAGGTGAGGAGAGAGAGAGAGAGAGAGAGAGAGAGAGAGAGAGAGAGAGAGAGAGAGAGAGAGAGAGAGAGAGAGAGAGAGAGAGAGAGGGACAGAGGGGAGGAGACAGAAAGAGAGAGAGAGAGAGAGAGAGAGAGAGAGAGAGAGAGAGAGAGAGAGAGAGAGAGAGAGAGGGAAGGAGAGCGAGAGAGAGAGAGAGATAGGTAGAGAGGGACAGAGGAACAGAGGGGCAGAGAGACAGAAAGAGAGAGAGAGAGGAGAGAGAGAGAGAGAGAGAGAGAGAGAGAGAGAGAGAGAGAGAGAGAGAGAGAGAGAAAGAGAGAGAGACAAGGGGTGGGGGAGGGAGAGAGACAGGGAGATACACAGACACACATATCTTAAAAGAGACGGGAAAAACAAGCTCTAAAATCAAACCCGCCAGATAAGCTCCGCCAACAACACACATAAACGTCTGGGTTAAAAAAGGAAAGAAAAAAGGGCCAAATATTCCAATCACTTCCCTGGTCACTTAATCGCTAACGAGTAATTGAATCGTTAAGTTTGAGGAAAAAGGGAGAGAGGAGATTAGAGGATAGGGAAGAGGGGGGAGGGAAGGAGGGTGGGGTGTTGGGGG